ACTCCAGTCTCCAGTGTCACATGAATGAACAGTTGTGCTGCTAATGTTTTCTCAAAATTTTAAGTTAATTTATAGAAAGTTCATATAAAATCTTCTGTAATATCATAAATGTCTCTACTGTCACTTTTAAACAATTTAATGGGTCCTTGATTAATAAAAGTATTCATTACTTTATTTAAACTTCTGACTTCTGAACAGTAGTACAAACTTCTGAACAGTAGTCTAAATTTGAAATATCAAATGTCAAAACAGTGCATCTGTCTCATTCCAGTCACAGACACCGTGTTCTGGGAACACCAATTGGGGGATGGACACTCGAGCACGCACACAGAGAGATATAGTTCCCCTCACCTGCCTTGTGTAGCCTGAAGCTGCTCAGTTAGTTTAGCCAAGTGAGAGCTAAGCAGACACATGGATCAAGACAGAAGACAGAAAAGAGAGATTCCAAACCATTCACATTAATAGAGAGGAAGTCGAAGCACTTTGAGATTTTTTACAATAGAAACTAAGCATGCAGAGTTGAGGGAGGATCACTATCAGCTCTTTACAGCCTGCAGGGAGAAAGAGCAGTGTAAACTGAACATCCGAGACTACCTTTCTGCAGGAACGGTGAGAGCACATGTCTGCTGAACTGACTCTTCAGTAACACCAACATTCTAATAAAGAAAGGATTAATCAATTAACAGAAGTGAATTACCTCCTAAGCTCAACCAAAGTGTAATAAAATCTAAACAGCATTAGCTATTTAACTTTTTGTAAGAACAACAGTAACAATAGTGTCCTGTGGTGTGATGTGTTATAGACCCATTCAAAAGTTTGAGGTCAGCAAGATATTTTTTTTTCAGCAAGGATGCATTAAATTGATCAAACGTGACATTAAAAACATTAATAATGTTATAAAAGATTACTATTTCATATAAATGCTGTTGATTTGACATTTCTATTTAAAGAATCCTTTAAAAAAATGTATCAGTTTCCAGAAAAAGCATCACAAATGTTGATAACATTAAGAAATGTTTCTTGAGCAGCAAATCAGCATATCAGAATGATTTCTGAAGGATCATGTGACACTGAAGACTGGAGTAATGGCTGCTGAAAAGTCAACTTTGCCATCACAGTCATAAATTACATTTGAAAATATATTCACATAGAAAAGAGTTATTTTGAAACCGTAATAATATTACTGTTTTACAGTATTTTTGACTAAATAAATACAGCCTTGGTGAACATGAGACATCTTTCAAAACAAATAAATCTTACCAACCCCAAACATTTGAACACTACTGTATATCATTTAGAACTGATCTAAACAATAATTTTGTATAATTATTATAAATGCAGTTAGTATGACCTTGTTTTAGTTGAGCAAATATTACACTGTAGAATTCACTCCAAAAAAGCCTAAAGATGAAATTAAAACATTAATAAAAATGATTCAAGTGAAAAGGTGTTGGACATGTTATCTGTGGACCCATATGATACGTCTAATTGTATCAATAAACAAATGGAAAATAAATGCTCTACCTGAGTGAGTTTGGAGCGTAACTGCTCCACAGTGGTGTGGAGATTTTCTCTCTCTTTCTCATTCTCTGCCTTCTCCTTCTCCAGCTCCTCATTCCTCCTCCTCAGTGCCCTCATCCCTTCCTCCAGCTTCTCTTTGTGGCTTTTCAGCAATTTCAGAAATTCATTAGAGCCCTCAGCAGGCTAAAGAGTAAAGAGATTTGTAAAGATGACCTTATCTTTAGCTACGTTTGGACAGTACTTTAACACAGTAAAAACGAGGAGGATAAAACACACCACACCCAAAAGAAGTCAAAGCAGATTAGCACTTAATGCTGATAAAGCTCTGTTGTACAGACAAACTCATTGTTACATTTCACATATAGAGTGGTAAATTACCAAATTTTGAGGCATTGTGTGTCTATAAGCATCTCCTTCAGATCGGTCTGTCAGTACAGCTTCATTTAATACCTGTGGAATGAAACAAACAAGGGATGTTAATTTTAATTCAATGAACTAACAACTTCCTGCAAGTTCCAAATGCTTCACAAAAGAACCTACTTCTGGTGAGTCCATGAGGACATCGGTGCACTTCAGCTCTTGGTCCTGGCTTTGATTTCCAGTCTCTTTAGAGATGCCGACACGGGGACTCCCTGTTTGACTGATACTGTGGTTGAGCTGTCCCAACAGGCTCTGGTTTTCCTGTGCCAGTCGCTGCACTAAAGCTCTGGCCTCACGAAATCTACAGCTCAGGAAGTCGCGCTCCTCTCTCGACCTCCTCTGCCACCCCTCCATCTCTTCACATCTCTCTTTGAGGGCATCATTGCTTCGCTTTAGAGCCTCTGTGGAACGTTTAGAGTCGTTTATGCATTTTTACGTTATCAATAGGCAATGTGTCTGGCATAGACAATCTCTTAAGTCTCACCTCGTAGCTGATGATTATCTGCTATGAGTCTATTAACCACTTCATTTCCCGCTAATTCAGGAGGGACCCTCATAGACCCCTGCGAACTGGCCATCAGTGACCCTTGACCCTCGGCACCTACAGTCTCCTCTCCAGTCAGCTCCCACTGCAGAGTGCAACCACCTGACGGCTGCGGTTGGACCATGATCCTGAGAGAGAAGACCAGCCAATAATAAACATCTGGAGCTCTGAAACGCCATTAATTTTACAGTTGCAACTTGATTGTTGATATTGAATCAGTTTTTAGCGAGCAATGAGCATTTATTAAGTGCCATTACAGTATTTATTAATCTTTGTCAGTTAATAAAAATACAACTATTCATATATAGTTTATGTTAGCCCAGGTTTATTAAATGATATTAACAGATAAAACTTTTGATTTTAATAATGTATTAGTAAAAGCTGAAAAATACACATAATGAATTTATTGTTATTATTATTATTATTATTGGGATTTACATTTGTGCCATTACATTTATGCAAAGATCTTCTGCATTCAAAATGATCACCAAGTTATTTTCATCTCCGTTTTGGACTATAAAATATTACACTGCTCACCTGAGAGTGAATGACTGTAAATTTAAGCAATTATACAATCAATAAAGTTAATAAAAATACAACTGTTATTTGTTACTCCAATGCCAGCTCAGGTTCATTTAAATAATATCAACAAATACAACTTTTTATTTTTATATTTTTAGTAAATGCTGAATTTAACATCAACTAAGATTAATAAATTCTTAAGTATGAAGTATTTTTATTTTTTAGTTGATGATTAGTTAACGATTACCAACATATTTTCCCCAAAAGTTTATTTATTTATTTTAACAATATTATTAATTTCTATGGCTTTTCAGTGCTGGTTTATACTATATTATTAATTATATTATTTTAACCCCTCACATTAAGTTTAAAATTGTAATGGATGAATTGCGGGCTAAATAGGGCGATTCATTAAGATTTCCGCCCTTAACAACGCTACAGTTCAAATTAAATAATCACTCCAATCATATTTAAGTTGACCAAAAACTATAGAGTCTATAGAGTTTCATGATCCTTTTCCCATTTAAAAAAACGGTTTACTGTTTCTCAGTGTGGTGTTACTTCTAAAAACAAACACACACTTCAAAAACACTGATTGACAAGTTTATTTTAAACAACTTGTCACATTTCCTGAAAAGCAAGATCCAATGTTTTGTTTACAGGTTCCAGACAGACGTACTCAGCTAACAACACGGCTAGCATCAGCGCATTTAAAACACTAAAACATTCAAAACCACAGACTAACATAAGTCATATTCATTAGACATACATAAATTATGTGATAAATATATCGGAGGATGTAATAGGTAAGTAATTACTACCTTTTTTAAGCCGTTCACAGTGTTTAACCAACTGCGCTAACACAGATCCACTGACTGTCGGTCTTCCGCCAAGGAAACACGGCCCGGTTTATAGTCAACCACAGACGTTAAGGTCGGCAAACATCTTCAGCCTCACCGAGCTGGAAAGTTAAAACTGAGTTTGATAATGTAAATGAGCTAAAAACGTCCAGAAAAGCTCGGATAGGTGCAGAATGTCGAGGAATTCCCCCGCGATACTTCCGCGCTTCATCACACTGTGCGCTGTTTCCGGGTAGTGGAATTATGGGAAGACAGATTACAGTAAAAAGCCACAAGAAACTTCTTCTTCTTCTTCTTCTTCCAAAATGAGGCTTTAAACCCTTTTAATGCCTTCAGGTCATTTTGACATGATTTTGATCAAAAAAACGCTTGAGACCCCGCTCCTACCAGTTTTTTTTTTTCAATACTAGTAAAAAATTATTTATGTTTTGACACAATAATAAAATAGGGCCTATGCATTACAAATATAATCTTATAATACTAATATAATATGATCTTAAAATACTAATATAAATATTATATTATAACACTAATAAATATTATTATTGGATCTCTATATGCGATTATTAGGTTTACTTTACCTATAAACACGGTTGTTTTCTGTTAAACAAACACTTGTCTAAGGCGTTGGGTGATATTCTTTTGAGATCCACTAAATGGGGCTATTTATTTGGTAGTTTTGATATTAGAAAAATGATAACTGATTAAATATAAAAGTGTAAATATTGATAAAAAAAAATATTGATCAAACTGATTATAAAATAAGAGAGTTCACAGCTTGTGTACAAAGATGCAGGCTAAGTGGTTGTTTTAATCAAATACATGTATGGCATGGCATCAAAGCAGACATACATGACAGTTGTTCATTATATCAAACACCAGGGGGAAAAAACAAATATCAACAGATTCTATGAAAAAAGGTTATATTGTAATTTTGTATATAAGACAAACCTATGCAGAATTTGTTACATTAAGATGGTTTAAAAATAAATATAAAAGGTTATTAAATAAAAATCTATTTAATAACATGTAATCCTCTTCTTTGAATGTCTCATAGTTATTTAAACATAGCTTCAAATAACAAAAAATCCATTCAGGTATTCCAAGCATTCATGTTTTGTTTTGTTTGGTTTTTTTTTAATTGAGAGAAAAGCAGTTTGACGAGCTTCCTCAGATTCCTTCCTGTGTTTCTTCACTCTTTGGAGAACACCACATATATGCCACTGCAACAACGAGCCACAGATGTGCAGAACGGAGCGATGAAGACATTAACCACACTCATCCACAGTGACCTCACACAGGGCAGGCAGGTATGAAACACCTGAATACAGGGCATCACACACCTATGGCAAGAGACAGTGATGTTACTCTTTTTTTTGTTTATGTAACAGATTTCATAAATAACTGCCATAACAGCTTACCAGATGTGCAAACAGGCCAGGAGGGCAAAGAGACAGCCACAGAGACAGGAGAGGGGAACCGCACACAGCGCTGTCAGGCAGCGGTAACCCCACAGCCGCATGGACTCAAAGGTGATGCCGCTGTACACCCACACACGGTCGTAGCTGTGTGTGGACACGGGCTCTGCCAAAACATCGCTAAACTCTATCTGGTGTCACAGTGAACAGGAAGTTAGTGCCATTTTATTGCTGGTCATGTTTATTTCACTTATAACCCCCATATGTGCAAACATGTCCATCCTTGGGATAAGAAGTGAGCGTTGCACTCACCTTCAAGTGTTTGTTGATGCCACAGGGATCCCTGATCTCAACCTGAGTGAGGGACGGGGTGGAGGAGAACTGTGGAGGAGGAGGCGGAGACAGGTGGATCTTCTTCACATCATCATCATCATCATCTTCATCATCAATATTACACTCCACCAAATACTCGTCTGACATCATATTGACTGCAAAGCAGATCACACGGTTTGTGTTTGTGTGCAATTTCTCATTCACATCTCCAAATCAGTGCAGACCCAAACAGCACAGTACCTAGTCTTTTCTATGAACAGTTTAGTTTTTTAGCATATCTGTGGGTTAAATGGTTTAGTTAACAGTAGACAAACTACAGCAGTGGTTCTCAACCTTTTTGATTGCAAGGCCCCCATTGTCAAAGAAGATATTTGAAGGCCCCCCAAGATATTTCTGATACTTCTGCTATAATGACAAAGCTGCACATTTTCAAACTTTTTATTCACAGAAACTTGGAGTAGCGATATAAATAAAATGAAATAAAATCATTTAAATAGTTCAATCTTATATTCCCAGTAACTGAATATTCTTCATGGTTTACACTTTTTTTATTAATTTACATGACTTTTCTAGTTTGTAAATACAGTTTGTTTTTAATTACTTTTCACAAATATCAATTTGTAGCAATACAATAATATATGATATGAGAGGGCTTAATATAATTTCATAATAAAAAAATTAAATGGCTTAAGAATTTTTTTAATTTCACCACTTTTCCAGGTTTTAAAATTCCCTCAAACAGTATGTCCAGGTTGTCCAAGATTGTGAGAACCTGGTTCTTAAATAAAAATGGCAGTTGTTAAGGGAGCGAATTTAAATAAGAAAAAAATGATTTCTGCATACATTTTGCTTTTTTTTTTTTTTTTTACTGTTTTTGCTTATTTTCAATTGTTTTGAACCATCTTTTTTGGTAAGCCCCTTTGGAAGTGTGCTGAGGCCCCCTAGTGGGTCCTGGTCCCCTGGTTGAGAACCACTGAACTAACGTGACAAACTACAAGTAACATGTGACAAATACAACTGGAATCAGATGAGACACACCCTGGCAACTCTTGCTCACTATTTTTACTCATATGCCATACTGTAATACAACTGAGAAGTGATGAGATGAACTCATCAGTACTGTATGGATGTAAATGTTAACATCTGATATTTAATCAATGTTTGAAAATAAAAAAATCACAAAAATATTTAGTAATTAAAACAATGCACAGAAAGAACTGAAAGACATTGCATTTCTTTTTTATAGTAAATAAATATGATTATTATTATCATTACCAGATATTTATTAAGAGTGTTTATTATTCAATTTAGGAATACCCATGAGTGCAAAATATTTACCAATTATTAATATTTATCACTTACCCGATTCAATAGTCCTGATCCAAAAATAAACAGTAATCCTGGTGCAGGGTCAAAAAAGTAACTTCAGCAATAGCAACTATTTTTTGATCTATCTGCCAGACACTGCCAATCTCCAATCTCGTCGTCTACATCTAACAGATGAATATGTGGCCTGTATCAAACTATAACTGTGCAGCAGGAGGCATGGAGGGGACTTACAGTATGGAGGTGTGACCTCACTCTTTCTGCCTTGTGTTTTTTGGTGTGTGGAAGTGTCTGTACCCAGTGAAGAATTAGCAGGCTGAGCGTAGAGTTATTTTGGGGAGAGGAATGGAGAGGGCACCACTGATCAGGTTACTGGACAGGCAAACACAGCCTGTTTCCTCACATATCATCTCATATTTAAAACAATGACTAATTTATACTTTTTATGAAACATGCAGTGGGCTTCAAAAATATTCAGACACTTAAAAATGTATTTGTATATTTTCAGGGATATTTATCACTTACCCCAGTTTTATTGCATATCTTTTTATATTCAGGGTTCCCACACATTTTCCATCTCAAAATTCCATACTTTTTCAGACTCAAATTTCCAAACCTCTTTTTCAGACCATATTTAACATACTGTAAATGGTTCATAGAGCATGATTTATCAGCTTTATATTTGGTATATAGTACAGTCATCTGTAAATATTTTTATTTTCTCAGGGGTTTATTTATTGATTTTCTCGAAGTGACAACATACAGAGCCCCTAAAAAAAAAACTTTTGCTTTTTTGTGCCTTCAAGAAACTATTGACATGCACATGGGAATTTTTTGTGTGCTTACGCATTACAATTTCTAGTTTTATATATACTATTACCTATTTCCTTTGTGCGTCACTGCCATCTTACTATATGAAGAAAATGAGAGCATAGATGCACATGAATTAATAGAGATATATTTGCTCAAAGTTTGGCTTTTCTTAGGGTAGTACCTCTGATATCAAGGCCTAATGTCCAATTTAATGCATCCTCTGTGGTGGCGGAGAAACAACACGAAATGGGCTGATGGCATAATACGGCTGTGTGCATTGTCCTATTTGCCAAGTTCAAGGGTCTATAAAAAAGGCTGGTACCGTAAAAAAAGTGTTAAAATTTTTTCTCTCTTTAGGGCAGTACATCATATTTCAAGGCCTTAAGTCTGCTTTATAACGCATACTCTGTGATGGCCAAAAAAACGACAATAGTGGCTCAGTGTGCATTGACCTATATGCTACATTTAATGGTTTCACATGCGCACACGAAAGTCTGTATATTTTTTATTTTTGCAAAGATCCTTTTAGAGGATCTGTAATACGTTGCTAAGAATATTGTGAGAAGAAACACAAAATGCTAATAACCTGCATTTTTACATAATGAAAAAGTGCACCTTGAATTCATTCAGTCGTGTTTGACAATCACTAAAGAATCACTAAACAGCTGCCATGAAAACACACTTCTTGTATGATAAATTTATTTTCATTAGATTATTAATTTCCTATTATAGAACACTAAATGGGGGCAAAAGTCTGGAAATGCAAATATTTTTCCATACTCTGCTTTCTTTTTCCCATACTTAAAAAAAAAAAATCTAATTCAAAATAGTAATAAATACAATATTACTATATAAATAATAATAAAATAACACTGGTTATACCAACAAAATACAAAGAAACGGGTATTTCAAGAGTAATTATTATGCATGATGAAACATCTGGCAAGCCGACAGTATTTTAGAATCAATATAATTTATTTTGATAATATTGTAATCCACACATCAACGGTGACATGATCTACCAGAGACACACACTGCTAAAGGGAATGCATGGGTGACGGGGTGGAAGTCGAGGGAGACCAGTGACCGGGGGCACTAATGTGTAGCTAAAAGGAAGTGAGTGCCATTGTACTTCCTGCGACTACATGTGCTGTTTCACAGATTGATCTTTTCTCCAGTCAGTTCTCTGCTTCTCTGTTGGAGTTTCTGAGCTGCTCTGAGTGGCACTAGTCTTCACAGTTGTCTTTCCAGTTTTCATATGTGTGAGAGAGAATATAGAGCTGTAGGGGTAAAATCAGCTACAGAGCTGTGCTTAATTTGGCCGCTCCACCTGTTCCCACGCGAGACCATCCGCGCCAGTGTGTTTGCATGCATGTGTGCTGGTTCCTTTATGATAGAATGCTTTTTAAAGAATAATCCATTGTAATGCAAATAATTGTAAAAATAGTAATGCAATTGAATGCAAAAAAAAATTAAATAGCAAATAATCCCTAAATGAGTCTTCTAAAAAAGGAAAACTGGAGCATTTTAATATTCATCATGTCGTACCTTGAACTATTTGAGCTATGCATAATATCAAAAAGCAATAAAAAAGCATTAAAAAACAAAACCAAAATATAATCTCTCCAATAATGAAGCTCTGAGAGTAACATTGGCCTTCATAAATCTCTTGCTACATTCAGGGTGACACGTCTATTATCTAAAATAACAATGTGGACTCTGTCTGTCATGGACTTCATTCCCACAGTTCACTTGTCCATCCGAATCTATGTGCTTTGAGGGACTCAACACTTGTTTTCTGGTACTCTATGAATAATACATCATCAGCAGATACTTATGTTTCTCCAAATGAACACAGTCTACACTACAGACAAAAACATCAGACACATTGGACATCACTGCGCTGAATGATTAGATAGGAAGTGGGAGATTCTTGAATGATGGCCAGATTAACAGTTGTCAAAGCTAAAACACAAATACAACCAATAATAGGATCAATGACGGTCTTACGCAAAACAAAACCATATTTAGCCACTGTCAACTGAAATCTTTTTGAATACACTTTAGTTAATAAGGCGTAAAGAGAACCATATCTTGTATGTCTGGAAAAATATATTCATATCTGTGATGAGTTTGCCGTTCCCCCAACACCCATACTTAGATTCACTAGTCTATCATCCCTTCATCTCCCTCAGTCCTGTTGGTCTTGGGGTTTGAAGAGACCTCTGCTGCGCAGGCCGAAGCCTCCCTTCTTCACCGGAGGTCGAGCGGCAGCGGAGGGCACCGAAGGGACAGATGCGGGAGGAGAGGAAGGAGGAGGGTTCGAACCCGAGGCTTCCAGAGGAGGATGACGGGACAACAGCTCCTTAAACACTGAGTTCATCTGGCGACTGACCTCCTGTGAGAAAGAGAGAATCGTTCATCAATACATAAGGATATCCATTTGGGTTTTACGAGTGCTAGCCCTTCAAATTCATGGATTTAAACTTATTTTAGTAATTAAACTTATAAACTTCAATTTATTGTCCAAGATAATATTCCCCCATGTAGGCATGTCGGTAAGATATGTCTGGTACTTCTTCTATAATGCTTGTTTTTTTATTTACACAGTGGAAATATATTAAAATAATAATAAATCATTTTTTTAATATAATAATAATAATTAAATTCTGTAATTCCAGATGTTTCAAAAACTGAATTTTACAGTAGTTCATGGGGGATTTTTAAAGTTTTTTTTTATTATCATTTACAACAAATAGCAATTTCTACCTGATGAAATAGTTTATAGTTTGAAATAACTAAAACAATGTATATTCATTATTGAAATTTCCATGACTTTTCCAGGTCTAGAAATCAAATTTTTTACCCAAGTTTTGCCAAGACTTTGGGAACCCTGCTTCTTAAAAAAAAAAGACAGTTGTTGAGGTATACAAAATAAAATCAAAGTATATGATGTTGGTTTATATCTAGAGTTTTAGCTTATATTAATGCACATGTTGTCTTATTGTAAATCTTTTTAAGCCATCTTGCTGCCCCCATAGAATTGTGCTGAGGCCCCCTAGTGGGTCCCAGTCTCCTGGTTGACAATGACTTATTTAAATTACTATACTTATTAGTGTAGAAATGTGGCCGAAGAAATAAAAAAGTCCTGAGATTTGAATATGGTTCAGTGGATAATTCGGCTTTCTAAGCCTTCATGCAGAACAATTTAAATTCATTATATAAATTGCCACAACTGTTAAGATTTTAATTACATTTCCATGACTTTCCCAAGCCTGGAAAAAATAATTTTGCAATTTCCTAGTGTATATCCAGATTGTCCATAAGTGTGGAATCCCTAGTGTGTATTCAAATATGGCATGGCCAGTTCAGATTTGATGCCATTGATACCGAATGTGTCTTGTAATTGACCGATGTGCTTAATTTTACATATACAAATAAAGTTTGAAAGCTACAATATTGTCAATTAATAAAGAATCAGACCTTGTCGATATGTACTGTCTGTCTGTCTGCTGGTCCTCCTATTGGCCTCAGAGTGTCTAAAGTGTGTCTGCGCTCCTGATGACTGAAGAGAAAGAAAGAAAGAAAGAAAGAAAGAAAGACAGACAAAGAAGGGAATGATGACCTAAATAAAGTTCAATTGCTTATAACAATATACACTACAGTTCAAAAGATTGAGGTCTGTAAGATGTTCTTTAATGAAGTTAATGCTAAAAAAGGCTGCACTTACTTTATTATATGTTTCAGCTGTCTGCCTTCTTCAGTGTAACAATTCACTGTTTCTCAGAAACAGAAATTCCTGAAACGGTGAACTGTTACACTGAACAAGGCAGATAGCTGAAACATTTGTGATACAGTTTTTATCCCCTGCTTTAAACATAACATTTTTACATTTACATTTATGCATTTAGCAGACGCTTTTATCCAAAGCGACTTAGAGTGCAGAGTTTTTAGAGTGCAGACTTTTTTTGTACTTTTTGATTAAAAATACAGTAAAAAAAAAAGAAATTGTGTCAAATATTATTATAATTTAAAATAACTGTTTTCTATTTACTCCAGTCTTCAGTGTCACACGATCTTTCAGAAATCATTCTAATATGCTGATTTATTGCTCAGGAAACATTTATTATTATTGCTAATGTTGAAAACATGTACTTTTACAGGTACATTTTTCAGGATTAAAAAAATGAAGATTATTCAGGATTATTTGATGAAGCACAGCATTGTTTTAAAATGGACATCTTTACCTTTTACTGACACTTTTGATGAATGCATCCTTGCTAAATAAAAGTATTAATTTCTTTAAAAAAAATACTAATGAATTTTTGATTTTGCATAAACACTGTTTTTGTCATCTCCAGAATAATTCTGTAAGCTCATTGAGGTTTAATGGTGAAAATACACACATTTCTCAAACACATGACTTTCAGCAGCTGGTACCATCAAAACAACTTCTGT